AGATAGTGAAGAATCAGATTTTGATGGCTTCATATGATGTATAGGTTGCTGTAATTCCTTTTGTAAGTAAAATTTAAAATTTCCTTTTGTCATCCAAATTTAATATTTCTTTGTTCCAACATTTTTTGTGATATAGTCTGAGTATTACAAATATGGACTTCTTTAGTGGGTAAATATAAGTATATTCATGAATATAAATATATTTTCAACATTTCTTACCTTTAATTTATTTTTGAGTTATGATTTCATTTCATGCATTTTTCTTAACTGATAGGTCATATATCAGGACACATGTTGAGATTTTGCATCTATACGACCAACGACGATGTCACGTGAAATTTAATCTATTGTGGCGTTTACGCTGATGCAGCGTTTCTGTGTAATTTAAATTTTTTTCCCGCCATTTTTCTCAAGTGCTGCGTTTACGCTGATGCGGCCTTTCTTCTGGAAATTACGGTACTCAAAACTTTTAATTACCGTTAGTATGAGTATATTGTTCTTTCTACCTGAAGTAAAACGCTAATTGCATTGCAGTGCTTTATAAAGAGAAAAAAGAGGTAGTACAGTACAAAGTCTTTAATCTGGACTCGTCAGGACTTCGGCGATTCCGGATGAGGGGTTTTTCCGGATTATACAGGGGTTGGACAAAAATATGGAAACACCTTTAAAAAAACATGTTTCTTTGCTTAATATGGTGTAGGAAACCCGTTGGCATCCAAAACAGCTTGCAGTCTTCTCGGAATGGATAAATACAGTTCCTGTATGTTTGCCAGGAGAATATTATACCATTCTTCCTGCAAAACGGTGGCAAGTTCAGATAACGATGTTGGCGGTGGATAACGAAAACGCACTTTCCGTTCCAATGTAGACCACAAAGGTTCGATAATATTCAGGTCTGGTGACTGTGGTGGCCAGGGGGAGAAACATCGGTCAATAATACAACTCATCCTCGCGCTCAGAAAACCAGTCCTGGACAATGTGAGCTGTGCGAACAGGGGCTTTGTCGTCTTGGAAGACACCATCACCATCGGGGAACAAAGTTTGTACCATGGGATGAACTTGATCGGCCAAAATGTTCACATAAGTCTTGGCAGTCATGTGCCCTGACACAGTTATCATGGGGCTAGCAGAGAACCACGATATGGCTGCCCAAACCATAACAGAACCCCCGCCATGTTTCACTCTTGGCAACAAGCAGTCTGTATTATAGGCTTGAGATGGCGTTCTCCAGACGTAAACTCGGCCAGAAGTGGGAAACAATGTGAAAGAAGACTCGTCAGACCATATTACTCGCTTCCACTGCTCTATAGTCCAGGCTTTATGACTTAAACACCACCTTTTCCTGTTACGGGCATTAGCATCACTGATGAGTGGCTTCTCAATTGCAGCACGGCCAGCAATTCCCTGTTTATGAAGCTCCCTTCTAATTGTTTTGGTACTCACAGGGTTCGGTAACACAACATTCATTTCAGCAGTAACTTTTGCAGCTGTGGTCTTCTTATTTTTCGTCACAATTGCCCTTAATGATCGTCTGTCACGATCACTCAGGACACACTTTCGTCCGCGCTGCGATTTAGCAGATGATGTTTTTCCGCTTTTCAAATATGCGGAATAAATCTTCGATACAGTACCTCTTGAAACACTAAACACCTCGGCTACCTTGCTTACGGAAGCACCTACCATACGTGCTCCAACAATTTGCCCACGTTCGAAGTCTCTGTTAACTCTGACATAATGCAATGACAACCTCACATAACAGTACTCCGACAACAACTGAACTGTTTAGCACATTTACGAAGTTCTATAGGTGGCGTCAGTAGTCAAAAACGCCAGCGCCACCTACATATTTCATTAAAATCAATCTTTCTTTTCAAACATGCAATTCACAAGGTGTTTCCATATTTTTGTCCAACCACTGTAGATCATCAATTTAAATCTGGTAAGATGGCATGCAAAAATTATAAATTAAAATGAAGTCATAATTTACAAAATAAAGAGCAATTATGATCTAAAGGGTATCAAAATTTACAAAAAAAAAAGAGCTTAATATTTATTTGTTTACTTTATTAAACATTTCTTTCAACGCGCACATGTGTAAAGCATACATTATGCATAGTCGAAATTAGAAAATTGCAACCAGAAAACTATTTGATGTGTATTCGTGATATTTATAATGACGAGGAATTTGATTTAAATCATATCAAAGACGGAGTACATCGAGATGAAATACTACATTTAGTAAGGAATTATAAGCCGAATAAAATAAAAACATCTGCCCTGAAAAAAAAGATAGTGCTGACAGATCAACTTCCAGTTCATAGCACACTGCGACCCCCCCCTGCAGAGCAGCGTGAAATTGATAATATTGAATAGATTTCGGAATGGTTAGAGAAACAAAGGATATGTCTTTATCCATTTTTTTGCAGCAATTCCACTTTTTGTTTGATGGACATCGAAACATGCTTTCGCTTTGTAGATCCTTTGACAGCTCCGGAATCGGAAACGCTTTTTGACATAATCGAAAGTTCAAGCTTACTTTTTATAAAATTGCTCTAACAATCTGCAAAAAATAATAAGCCGGATCCAATTAGAAGATTAAGGAATAACGCAATCTGCAACATTAACTGAAATAGATAAATAGACAATTTTAGCGTAGCTTATACCGTCCGTTGTACATTAAACACGCATGCGTAAAGCTATTATGCACATGCGTAAACACATATGCGCATGCGCAGAAAGTTTGTAGCTTTGAGATTCGTATTATAGATCATTCCGGATTAAAGACTTTGTACTGTATATGATACAGATACAGTCAAAAGTCGTTAATTCGAACACCCGTAATCCGGAATGATCTATAATCCGGACCTCAAAGCTAAAATTTTTCTGCGCATGCGCCGCATCGACGCATGCGCATAGGCGTTTTACTCGTGCGCGCAAGACATTTACGACTGCGCATATGCATCTACGCAAGTGCAGAATACATTTTCGCGTGCGCGTTTAATGTATAACGGACGATATAAGCTAAAATTATCTAATTATCTATTTCAATTAATGTTGATAATTGCATTGTTCCTTAATCTTCAAATTGGATCCGGCTTATTATTTTTTGCAGACTGTAAGAGCAATTTTCTAAAAGTAAGCTTGAACTTTCGATTATGTCAAATAGAATTTCCGATGCTGGAGCTCCCAAAGGATCTAGAAAACGAAAGTATGTTTCGATGTCCATCAAATAAAAAACGAATTGCTACAAAAAATGGATAAAAGCATATCCTTTGTTTATCTAACCGTTCCGAAATCTGTTTATCAATTTCACGCTGCTCTGCGCAGGGGGGGGGGGGCACGTCGTCGCGCGCAATGAACTGGAAGTTGATCTGTCAACACTATCCTTATCTTCAGGGCAGATGTTTTTATTTTAGTCGGCTTATAATTCCTTACTAAATGTAGTATTTAATTTCGATGTACTCCGTCTTTGATATGATTTAAATCAAATTCCTCGTCATTATAAATATCACGAATACAAATCACATAATTTTCTGGTTGCAAATTTCTAATTTCGGCTATGAGTAAGATATGCTTTACGCATCCGCGCGTTAAAAGAAATGTTTAATAAAGTAAACAAATAAATATTAGGCTTCTTTTTTGGTAAATTTGGATACCCTTTAGATCATAATTGCTCATTATTTTATAAATTACGGTTTCATATTTTTAGTTTTATAATTTCTGCATGCCATCTTACCAGATTTAAACTGATGATCTATAATCCGGAAAAATCGATAATCCGGAATCGCCGAAGTCCCGACGAGTCCGGATTAAACACTTTTGACTGTATATGTAATTTGGTTTTATTTAGTTACGTTCTTAAAATATTAATGAACAGATGGAATAATTATTTTCTAATTTTTCCGTGGTGCATATCATATTTTTCAAATAACAGATATTGTATACTAAAAGATGCTGCATAAATTTAGAGATAGTTTTTAAGGGAAGATTATTATTTCATATATCCATTATCTGTAAATCGCAAGACACATTTTAATTTTAAATCGATTTTATTTAAATTTTCTGACGGTCTGTACCATCACCAAAATGCCATGAAAAAATACAGATGAGGCAACTCATTGTGTGGTCAACGTTGCCAGTTTTGGTATATATGGCAAATGAAGTATGCTTGTAGCAAACATGTGTTTGTACTTCTGAAATTCAGCAACAAATTTTTTGTACTTCCTTTCAAATTAACTATGTTTTTACTGTAACGAGTCATAATACAACTGTGGAGTTGTCCTCTTTTATTTTCATTACATTAAAATATGTTTTGAAGTTTCAGTTGTTCTTGGGCAGTTGCGATCAGAACACAGTGCTATGTACGTTATGCCGAGTTTGTGCAATTTTGTAATTTTATTTAAACATCAGAAACAGAACACATCACTGTGGGGAGAACAGTGGGGAAAAATTATAGAAAGATTTACGAAAACAGATAAGTGTTTTACTTTTTTTAAAATAAATTTTAAAAAATAGACAATGGTGGATGTAGCATTGAATTAGATGTAATCGTATTTTTCTCTCCAAAGTTGGCAGCAAATTTGCACATTTTGGGTGATGGTGCATGTAATTAAAAATTGTTAATTAAAAAATGAATACTAATTAAATTCATATAATTAAAAAGTGTTTAATGTCTAGTAAATATGATATATATTGCATGGTGAATAAAATTTATATGTGTATGTCATTGACTTCATCGTACTTCTGCATCCAAAAGCTAAATGATGGAATTGCTGCTTAATGCTCACCATAGGGTTGCCTGATGAAGGCTAGACATAATCTATATATTATAGAAAGTTCTGAAGGCTCTAATTGTAGCTGTAGAAATTACTAATTTAATATTTTCATGATAAAGTTTCGTTTCTTTCTGTTGATGAAATATGTAAATGGTAAGAAAAAATTAACTTAAAAATAATTTTGTTGTGCTTATATTGATTAGAAATATATTATATATTATCCAGAGCTATTATCCTGTCAGCTGTGAAATTGCCCAAGCAGCACAATTTAGCACCAGTTTTGGATAAGCGTGGCATCACAAAACCCTCTTCATCTGTACTTTTGTTTGATGTAATCTTGATTGATTCTGGGTAAGCCACTTATTATTTTTATGAACAAGGATATAAGTTGCTATTGCTGTTATTTTTTCCTTGCATTTTGAAAAAAAAATGAGTTTGAGGGTTGTAGACTCGCATTTAAGACTGCACTTGGGTTCATTTACATTGGATGGTGAGAATTAAGATCTGCTGAATAGGGAAAAGGACAGCTAGATATAACCAAGAAATAATAATAGCTTGAAAAAAAGCACCTGCAGAAAGTTTATACTAATAGTATTTTTAACGGAGCTCCCAATAAAATCTGCTGGCCTAAGAAAATAGTAGAATGTGAGAAGAACAATTTTTAGAAGTGCAAAAACAAAGTCAATGAAACCTTGATTGTTTATTACATAAAGAAGTAACAGTTCCTTCAGAATTCCTCTGACGTGACTGGCACTACTTTGGCAGGGTCTTTGTCAACATTCATGGTTAGGTGGTAGCCAGTTTTCGTGAATGATGAGATAATACATAAGTACCCAAAATTCTGCGGAATATATACAGTCAAAAGTCGTTAATTCGGACACCCATAATCCGGAATGATCTATAATCCGGACCTCAAAGCTACAAACTTTCTGCCCATGCGTCGCGTTTACGCATGCGCACAGGCGTTTACGAGAGCGCATAAGACCCTTACAGCTGCGAATATGTTTGTGCGCATGCGCGTTTAATGTGTAACGGAGTTATACGCTAAGCTAAAGTTATCTAATTCAGTTAATTAATGTTGCAGATTGCGTTGTTCCTTAATCTTCGAATTGGATCCGGCTTATTATTTTTTGCAGACTGTTAGAGCAATTTTATAAAAGTAAGCTTGAACTTTCGATTATGTCAAATAGAATTTCCGATATATATTTACTACAAAGCGAAAGTATGTTTTGAAATCCGAAATCTGTTTATCAATTTCACGCTGCTCTGTGGCAGAGGGGGGGGGCAGAAACGTCATTATTAGATTATGATAGATTAGAAAGATTATGTCAAATAGAATTTCCGATATATATTTACTAATATGTAATTTGTATCTACAAAGCGAAAGTATGTTTTGAAATCCGAAATCTGTTTATCAATTTCACGCTGCGGATTGGAAGTTGATCTGTCAGCACTATCCTTATCTTCAGAGCAGATGTTTTTATTTTATTTGGTTTATAATTCCGTACTAAGTTTAGTATTTCATCTCGATATACTCCGTCTTTGATATGATTTAAATAAAGTTCCTCGTCATTATAATTCCCTTCCGATAGTGAAGAAAGTGACCCAGAGGTTATTGAAAACGAAAACATTTCGATTGACAAATTAGTCGGTATTCTCAACACAGCAATTATAGGACTTGAACAGCGGAACTTTGTAACTAAACAAGAAATTATGTCTGTTTAATAGAATTAAAGAGAAAGTATTATCACATGAAACGAAGCAACTTACATTGAAGGAAATGTTTAACAAATAAATATTAAGCTTTTTCTTTTTGTAAATTTTGATACCCTTTAGATCATAATTGTTCTTTATTTCATAAATTACGGTTTCATATTTTTAATTTTGTAATTTCTGCATGCCATCTTACCAGATTTAAACTGATGATCTATAATCCGGAATCGCCGAAGTCCCGACGATTCCGGATTAACGACTTTTGACTGTACTGTCAAAAGTCTTTAATCCCGACTTGTAAAAGTATGAAACCATAATTTATGAAATAAAGAGCAATTATGATCTAAAGGGTATCAAAATTTACACAAAAAATTCTTAATTTTTATTTGTTTACTTTATTAAACATTTCTTTCAACGCGCACATGCGTAAAGCATACATTACGCATAGTCGAAATTAGAAAATTGCAACCAGAAAAGTATTTGATGTGTATTTGTGATATTTATAATGACGAGGAATTTGATTTAAATCATATCAAAGACGGAGTACATCGAGATGAAATACTACATTTAGCAAGGAATTATAAGCCGAATAAAATAAAAGCATCTGCCCTGAAGATAAGGGTAGTGCTGAGAAATCAACTTCCATTTCATTGAGCAACGTGACGTCTTCCCCCCCCCCAGAGGAGCGTGAAATTGATAAACAAATTTCGGAATGGTTAGAGAAACAAAGGATATGCCTTCATCCATTTCTTGCAGCAAATCCACTTTTTGTTTGATAGACATCGAAACATGCTTTCGCTTTGTAGATCCTTTGGCAACTCCAGAATCGGAAATTCTTTTTGACATAATTGAAAGTTCAAGCTTACTTTTATAAAATTGCTCTAACAGTCTGGAAAAAATAATATGCCGGATCCAATTAGAAGATTAAGGAACAACGCAATCTTCAACATGAACTGAAATAGAAAATTAGATAATTTTAGCTTAGCTTATACCATCTATTCATTATACGTTAAATGCGCGTTTATGCTGTAAGGATCTTAAGTTTTACTAACGTTTATTTTATTTTAAATCTTTACTATCACTTCTTATTTTCTACTTCCAGCCAGAATTATAAGCGTTAAGGTTTTTATGCAAAGTTTATCTGGCGAACGCCAAGTAATTAAGTTGTGGCCTTTTGCCAAGCGAGAGAGAGGAAGCAGTTGAGTTAAAGCAGGCCGCTTACCTTAGAAGTTACGCAGTTGCTGTTTGCCTTCCAGGCCAGAGGTTTTAATCCTCTTGATAACTTTTAAACGTATTGTAGTGTTCTCAGTTATCTGTACTACATACGCTTTCCTGTTAATATAAGGCCAATCTTCCACGTTTATTATTCTAAAGTTAAATTAGAGTTTAGTTTTATTTTTATACTTTTACGTTAGACCCCGAGTAGCGGGTTGGTGTATTCCGAAGTACGGAAGTTATTGTATATAGAGAAAAATAAAGGGTTTTGTATACCCTTCGTCTGTATCCTGTCTACTTACCACAATTAGTGAACATAGCTTTAGTAAGCTCTCTGTTCCGAGTCAGGTCCTTGTATGTTCCCGAAGAAGGTAAGAAGGAACATTGAACCTGATAATGCATGCGCAGAAAGTTTGTAGCTTTGAGGTCCGGATTAAAGACTTTTGACTGTAATTTAAAATAATACTCTTTAGTAAAACTTCTTTAAAAAATTTTATTTTAAGCAACACGTGTAGCAGCTATAATATAAAAAACTGCAGCTATTAAATTGTGTGAATTAAATAGATTAATCACTTTCGTATTAAACTTTTCAACACAGCATTTTTAAGTACCTGATGTAATAAAATTTATTTTTAATTGTCTTCCCTCCTTTTTTTGTTATAGGGAGATAATGGCACCTTCCACAAGAAAGAGAAAAGTGACCGAAGATAAACTTATTGTTGTTCAAAAGAAAAGAAATCAAAAAGAAAAGTCTAATTTGTTGGATCATTCTCAGTCAAAATCTAAAAGAAAAACTTCTGTAGAGGATGAAATTTATAATGATTCATCTGAAACCACAGAGAAATCTGCAAACAAAAAGCCAAAAAATGAAAAAGGCTCAAAACATGTGGCTGTTAAAGCAACACCTGAAGTAAAAGAAGCAAAACTGGTACTTTCAAAGGTAAAAGTAAAACAAGAAGAAAGAGGATCTGAGTTATACGATAATGAAACTGTAAAGAAATCTTCTATAAATAAATTATCAAAAAATGTAAAAAGTTCAAAACGTGTGGTCTCTGAAACACTACCTGAATTAAAAGAAGCAAAAGTTTTACTTTCAAAAGTAAAAGTAAAACAAGAAGAAAGTGATTCGGAATTAGAAGGGAATTCTCGTCATTCAACAGACAGTGGTATTGTTTCTGAATTAAGTGATGTAAAAGACAAATCAAGTTTCTCAGTTAATTGCAAATCAGATTTATCTATGCAATCATCATCCTATTTGAAAGAAGAAGGCAAAAATGAGGCATCGAGCAGTGAATCTGAATGGGAAGAAGTAGAAGAACGAGAAGAACAAAGTCTAGATGATTACAACCCTGTTATTCCCAAAGAAGGAGTAGAAATAACCATTGATTGTCCTGATCTACATATACGTAAACGCAAGAAAAAACAGTTTGATTGGCATGAATATATTAGACTGTATATTAATCGAGAGAGAAAAGATGCTCAGCTGTGTCTTCATAAAACACATTTATTATGTCTTTTGGCTCATGGATTTTTTGTAAATGATGTTTTAAATTCAACAGTACTGAAAGGCATGGCTTTGTCACTTATACCCGATGACATCTTTGCATCTTTTTCTGGTAAGAAAGTAGATAAAATAGATATTAATGGAGTAGAAAATCTCGTTTCTTGGTTTAACAGTTCATTCAGCGTTGAAAATGAAACAAATGCATTTATTAATTTAAGATATAATATGGTTAAAAACTTTGAAAGAAAAAAATCTTTGAATGCTTCCGAGTATAATCTTATGTTTATTGTAATTGCTCGTACATTGGGATTTAAAGCTAGATTTTGTGTATCCTTTTATCCTATTACGTACAAAGCTCAGAATTTATTAAAAAAGCCTCAAAGCAAAGAACGCAGTACATGTAAAAAGAAAGTGAAGACAGAAAAATGTACTGTTAGTGCTTCATCTTCTTCATCTGCTAATAAAGGTAGAAGTTCTAGAACTGCTGATAAAACACCAAAAATTCAAAAAGCAAAAACAGAAACTAAAAGAAGTGAAGTTAAGAAGGGAAAAACAGAGAAAATGAATCGGCCAGAGCGTAGCAAAAAGAAAAGTTATAAAATTAGTAGTGATGAAGATGATGATGATGACAGAGATAAAGATTTTAAAGTTGAGGATAAGAAGAGTAGTGATGAGGACACTGATATTAAAAAAAAGAACCCTCGTCACTCTCGAGGATCCTTTAAAACACCAAATAGGAAAGTCTTGTCATCAGATTCTGAGCCTGTATCTCCTGTACAGACAGGTTATGATTGTGATAAAATAACATGTTGGGCAGAGGTCTTTTCAAAATCCGATAAGCAGTGGGTGTCTGTAGATTGTGTAAATAAGATTATTAATAAACCATATGATATTGAAAAAACAATTCCTCAGCCTGTGACCTATATTTTAGCATATGATAATTCTTCAAATGTGAAAGATGTTACTCGACGTTACTGTGCTGAATATATGACATGTACTCTAAAATTAAGAGTTGATCCAGATTGGTGGGAAGAAACTTTGGAACCATTTTTACCACCTAATACAAAGTTAGATAAGGAAGAAGAGAAAAAATTGGATATGGTATTAAGTAATAAGCCTTTGCCTACTACTGTTGCAGGGTAAGTATCTAGAAATAATTTCCTTAGGTAATTAGGTAATAT